AAAGTTTTATATTGAACAATAGAACTGTAAAAGTGGTTGATCTAAGGAACGCGAGTCGCTTGTTCGAATTAGAGGAATTTCTGTCTTTAAAATTTCAGAACAGGAATGATCAATTCACAAAATCAATTGAAACAAAATTTAAAATACATTTGTACGAAAATAAATGCTAAGTTAAGGCATCATGTCTCGTCAGGAATTCCTTTAATTAAAATAAGGTTCTCGTAATATGTTGATCTATAAAGCATCGTTCTTTCTTCAATTCAATAATAACATTATCACGTATAAAGCTCTATATTTAACTCTATGCTATTTGTAACAAGAAATTTTAATGATTTGCATCGTTTTCTTATATTATAATATTCTGTACTAATTCATTTATTGTAATTCCTAAGAATTGTTATTGTTGTTTAATTACAGAAAAATATACTTTGAAATTAATTAATCCAATCAACTGTAAGAAATATGAAACTGTTGACATTCATAGCATAGCGTTTGAGAATTATTTTGAAATGTAACATTACTTCAAAAAATCTTCTGTGTACTCTTATTATAAATACTGAAGAAATAAACAATTTACAATTAAAAAGTGTTCAGTAAAGTTAAGTGATTTATTGTTTTATGTAATTACACGTATATTGTAGTATTTTCCTTTTGAATATTTGTTATTAAAGAATAATCTAATAGCCGAAAAAAAAACAAGTTCAATCATAAAACAACTATAGATTTTTATAATTTATATATTAAAACAGACTACTTGATGTTCTGTAACTACCTTCCGTTCATGACCTTCCTATTAGACTCCATCTGATCAAATCTTAAATAATTCTTGTGACGGATATAATCATGCACTTTACGAATGCGTTGTCCTTCCTCCATATCAATAACAACCTCAACACGTATGAAACTCTATAATACGTAATAATTGTTAAAAGTAAATTTTTATTTCTATCTGTGATAAATTACAGTTCGATCAACTGTAAATAGCAACATGGATCTGTAAGTTACATTGACTACAACAAACAGTTTTTGTAATATTTAAAAAGTAGTTGTCGTCACTACTGAAACGAAGTCCAATGCTTTCGGTCATCGCAATTATTTTAATATCATTAATATAACTTATCATAGTCACTACAACTAACTTTCCCAGTTGCTGATTGACTACTTCCATGAAGTTCAATCAACTGTGTAAATTATAGTTGTTATTTTCTAGTTCCTGCACTTATCAAAAATAGTTACTCTAACTACTTTCATGAAGTTGAATGCTGAAAGTTGTTTGAATTTTTCCAAAATAGTTCATCCAACTCCTCTTTATAGTTCATTGTATTACTCTTTTCACCCAACTACTTACGAGTAGCAGCTACAAATATTAGTTGCCGTAACTAGTTTTCCTTTTTCGATGTAGATAGTTGGCTCAACTATCTCGATTTTTCTTAGTGTGGTATACACGAAATATTTGTTTATCGAATTCCTGCTTTTAATGTCTCCAAAACTCCACCACTTTACCCAGCTTTAATATACTAGGGTATTAATGGAGCTGTTCTATTTTGCATATCAGTCTATAGTTTGAAAAAAGTTTATTGACGATATTCCTCTATATGTTTTATTTCAATTCCATTGAACAAATAATTAAGGTAGCTGTTAAAGAATTCGGGCAGGTACAATGACAATAAACATAAAAAATATGACTGATAGTACAAACTTATATGAAAATTTTTTTTATCCTTACTCTAAAAATACAGTGCTCATCAAGTTTTATATTGTCTTCCAATGTAGATGGGCCCATGTTAACTTTTCAAATCTGAAAAATAGAAGCTCACGAGGGATTCCAAAAGCACCCGAAGCTTTCTTCATTTTTTCCTCTGTAACCACTGGAGATTAATTTACATGAAGTATAATTGATTATATTTCTAATTTTATACTTTTTAGCAATCGACTAATTGTTTTTACACTAAAATATCTTAAATATACGATCGTCTGACAAGTGATGCGGTGCTGTCAAAATGTACAATTAAATTTTTAGATTATTTGATTAGTTGGAATTGTTCATCAATTCCCATGTAAACGGTGAAAGGTGTCAAATAATTTTGGATGTATATATGCTGAAAATTCCCTTCAATTAATTTTAAAACAAGATCAGCTACGTCGTTAAAGGGACAATCATTTTTATGCGTGTATTCTGATTTGGATTTTTGGAGCACTTGTGATGAGTGTGCATACTGTAAATTTTCATTAGTAGTAAGTTGTTCGTCCACGTTATTTAAGCTGTAAAGTTAATTTAAAAAGAATTGCATAAGACGTGGCACAATTTTTAAGAACCATATCAGAATATATTTCTATCAATAGAGAACATGACAACAATTGGGCCAAGTCTTCTTCAATTTTTTATGAATTAATTACTTTTTTAAATTAAGTAAAAATTAATTGCAAAAAAAATTCATCGTAAATGTGCATCTACAAAATTACTTTTTAAATTATTCATAGAAAATTCGAACAAATATTTTTTTACACTATAAATCGAAATCCATAAAAATAATGACTTAATTTTATGAATGACATGGCGTTCCATTTGATTTCAAACATTTTTGTTGTTTTAAAATTCTTCTGATTAATTATTTAAGAATAAGATCTTTCATTATTTGCAGAGTCACTTAGGACTTGTACATAGCGCGAGGTTTTATTGTCATCTGAAGATGGTAGGATTATTTTTCCTACAATACTCCATAGATTTTTAATAAAACATGATTTTGTTTTTTATAATAATTCATTATTTACTTGTAAAATATCGTAGCGACCAATAATAATATAACTTGTACTACATACCCCAACAAAACACTATTTTAATAAAACTGTATTGTTAAAAATAATACAAAAGGTTGTCAGATCATTACAAGCCAAGTATTTTAACTTCTACATATATTATGTTCATTAAAATTCAATGGGTTATTTATTTTCAAAAAAATTATGTACTTTGTTGCATATAATAAAGATAATTTTGGATAAAGAAAAAATTTTAGAGCTGAAAAATAACTATTTGTTATTTGTTTTATTAAACAAATGAAAGAAATGAAAGAATTTTGATTGTAATTTATCAACAAAATACTTGGTGTCACTATTACCTTTTTCCTCCTATTAAAATCCTGATTTTTTTTAAACATTAATCATATACGAGACGGAGCTGTAATGAAGATTTAATACGTTCATATTTTGATAATGTGTTTAGAACTTCGAGTTTCATTATAAGAAATATTATTGGCCCTAAAAAGGGCCGTTTGGGTTTAAATTTTCTAAGCACTGCTTTTTTCAGTCTTCTTAGGGAGAAGTACAGCTTGGATGTTAGGAAGAACTCCACCTTGAGCAATAGTAACTCCAGACAGAAGTTTGTTTAACTCTTCGTCGTTACGGATAGCTAACTGGAGATGACGTGGAATAATTCTGGTTTTCTTGTTATCACGAGCAGCATTTCCTGCTAACTCAAGAACTTCAGCAGCTAAGTATTCCATAACTGCAGCCAAGTAGACTGGAGCTCCAGCACCAACTCGTTCAGCGTAGTTACCTTTGCGTAACATCCGGTGGATACGTCCGACTGGGAATTGTAATCCAGCTCGTGTTGACCGGGTCTTGGACTTTCCCTTGACTTTGCCTCCTTTCCCACGACCAGACATGATTTTTATTTTATGTAGTTAATACTCGAGACGACAGAAAAGCAGTAGATGTCAGATCAGTCTATGCGGTACAGACTTATGGATTTTGTAGTGTATCTCCGAACCAATAAAATAAGAGTTCCTTGTTCCCACTACAGCAATGTGGTGTCAACTGGATATTTGATGTGGTGTATTTCCGAACCAATCCCGTACGTTTATGCTCTGTTAACTGCTAAGAGTTAGTGGCGTAAAAGTTTTTATTCCAAACAATAAGTATTGATGGAAAAAAAATTCCTATATTTGTTGATTTCACGATAGAGTTTTGTATTTTTAATAAAAATACTTTATTTTAAATGAGTTGATTAATAAGTCATTATTTTTTTTTTTTCCGTTCTCTTTCTATTTATAATAGAAAAACTATAAAATACATAATAGGACGAAAATGTGAACGATTTTCTTCCGATGAAACCATTAGTATTAATAAAAAGATTGGGTTAAAATATTATTGTTAATAACTATACATCACAATTTTTAAGTCGGTGAAGATCATTTTTTCATAATATTTCACAAATTTTTTCCCAAACACTTACCATATAAAAACTAAAATACAGAAATAAGAAACATACTACTTTAATTGCTTTTTCTAAAAAAAAAGATATTTTACTGTTATACGATTTATTTTCTTTCCATTATATACAGAAAATAATTATTCGAAACAAAACATTCCCTCATTTTATCGAACAATATTGTCTACCAAAACATCTATTACTAGAAATGATAATAATAATAATAATAAATTATTAATAATATAGTGATTTTTATTCAAAAAATGTGTTGAGTCGGAAACATTGTGTGTTTGTCATTACAAAATACCATTATAGAACCTTTATTTTTGATGGTATCAGAATGATATTTATTTATATCAATAATATAACTCTTCTAATATTTTTTATCACAATTTATGCAAATATTTTTTCATACAAAAATGAGCACTAACAATTTAATGTCTTTAAATGTCAATGAATTATAAACTGTAGTTATGATTGAATTAGAAATAATTGATTACAAGTAAATATCATCTAGGAGAGAAACTCTTTTGTAATCAGCAAACGTTCATTTAGTAATTTGTATCAGTGTAACTGAATTTAAGTTTATTGTTTATTGATAATTATCAAAGAATTGAATAAAATTTAATACTAAAAGTTGGAAAGTGTTGTGGCGCTAGTATCGAAAACCAACACGGCGACTCTTCATGGTCCGCGCTCAATTATGTGTATAGCGCTGTTTATTGGCATATTAATTTTTATACGAAACAAAATTCAGTTAACACTGTACTCAGTTTGTGAAAACATTTTAAAAATGACTGAAAAAGCTATAATTGTTGTGACTTCAGCGACTGAAGATAAGGCCACCGCTAAAGCAGCTTCACCAAAAAAAGCCGAAGCACCGAAAGCAAAAAATTCGAACGCTAAAGCTAAGTCTCATCCAAGCACTGCTTCTATGGTTAAAGCAGCCATTAAAACTTTGGCTGAACGCAATGGATCATCCCTACAAGCTATTAAGAAGTATATCGCCACTATATACAAAGTAGATGCTGAGAAACACGCTCCATTCATCAAAAAGTTCTTGAAGTCTGCTGTTACTGACGGTACTTTAGTTCAAGTGAAAGGTAAAGGCGCTAACGGATCATTCAAGCTTCATGTAACAAAAGCAACTACTACGAAATCTAAGCCTAAAACTACGACGGCCAAGAAAACCGCATCGAATAAGAAAACTCCCACTACTAAGAAACCTGCAGCAAAAAAAACTGCAGGTCAAAAAACAGCTCCAAAGAAAGCAGCTCCTAAAAAGGAAACCAAGACAGCAGCTGAAAAAAAAGGAGTAAAAGCTGTTACAAAGGAATCTAAAGTCAAAACAACAGCTCCTAAGGCTAAGAAAGCAACTAAAGCACCAACTGCTAAACCAAAAGCACCTAAACCCAAGAAAGTGTCTACACCTAAAGCAGCTAAATCAACTAAAAAGATAGCTGCTAAAAAATAAATTTATACTAACGGAATTTTTTCATTAAAAATACAACGGCCCTTTTTAGGGCCAAACAATTTATTCTCAATATAGAAAATTTCTCTGCTGATACAAATTGCACAATTTACTCTCATTAACTTTTTACATGTACGTAAAAAGTACATATTAAAATAGAACTGTTTTTGTTCTGTAATCTCATTATTGTTTTATGTATCAATTACTTAGAAAAATAGTCATCAAATAATGAAATTTTTAAAATTTGCTGAATAGAAGTTTTTAATGTCTATTTAATAAGTATACAAAATAAAAAATAATATAATTTTCAATTTTGTTTATTTAAAAATTTAGATTTTAAAAAGTTTTGATACTAAGGATTTTTACAAATTATCTTTTGGAATGATATATACGCGAAATTGAATTGAATTTTTTGTTATGGACAATTTATTGTTTAGTCTTAAAATATATGAAATCAGAATTGAGTAGCTCTTGTATGATAATATGTAGGCCCTAAAAAGGGCCGTTGATTAATGAAGCAATTTATGCTCTCTCTCCTCTAATACGACGAGCAAGTTGGATATCCTTAGGCATAATGGTTACTCGTTTGGCGTGGATAGCACACAAGTTGGTATCTTCAAAAAGGCCCACTAAGTATGCTTCACTGGCTTCCTGAAGTGCCATAACAGCTGAGCTTTGGAATCTCAAGTCAGTCTTGAAATCCTGGGCAATCTCACGTACCAACCGTTGGAAAGGTAGTTTACGAATGAGAAGTTCAGTGCTCTTTTGGTAACGACGAATTTCCCGGAGCGCGACAGTTCCAGGCCTATATCGATGAGGCTTCTTGACTCCTCCGGTGGCGGGAGCACTTTTACGTGCAGCCTGGTGGCGAGTTGTTTACGAGGGGCTTTACCTCCGGTAGATTTACGAGCAGTTTGCTTAGTACGAGCCATATCGCAGTATAGTATAACTAGTTACCTTCGTACAAGACGACGTCAACGAGAAAGATACCCTCGCCAGCGAAATCTGTCGTTATATATTCTCTTCTTTGTAACAGCTGTTATATGATTGGTTCACGAGGTCTTACGGGGGAATAAATTCTGATTGACGGCTATTCGTTGAGAAATATGGTAGGGATGGCCAAAGAGTATATAAGTTAGCTCAGTGACTGACTTGAACATTCATTTCGTTTCAAATTATATCCTTAATCACTTTGAATACTAGTAATCATGACTGGTCGTGGCAAGGGAGGAAAAGGATTGGGGAAAGGAGGCGCTAAGCGGCATCGTAAAGTTCTTCGTGACAACATCAGGGTATTACCAAGCCTGCAATCCGTCGTCTGGCTCGACGTGGTGGAGTCAAACGTATCTCAGGATTGATATATGAAGAACTCGTGGAGTGTTGAAAGTTTTCCTTGAGAACGTTATTCGTGACGCTGTTACATATACTGAACATGCTAAGCGGAAGACAGTCACTGCTATGGATGTTGTCTACGCATTGAAACGTCAAGGACGTACTCTTTACGGATTTGGTGGTTAAACTACATTTTATTTTATCAACAAACGGCCCTTCTCAGGGCCAACAAATTTTCTACGTTGACTTTACTACGTTCTAAACCATTTACTTTAAAAGTCATTTTAATCGTCAAAGATTAAATGATGGGTAAAATCGTTGCATAACAAAAATGAAAATTCTGGGTAATATTGACTTCAATTCACAATGCAATTTTATTATTGAGTTTTTATCATTATTATTATTATTATGCATTGTTGTCATTTAAATATAAAAAATAGTTCTTAAAACTCCTTTAATTGATTATATTTCGTACCTTGTGTATTCCAATAAATTCTAATAATTGATTACATTAAGATGGAAGACCAATAGTTACATATACATAGACTATTGAACAAAGTATTTTTGGTTCTACTATCTCTTTTCTCCTTATTCTTTAGAATACTTTGTGTCATATTTAACATAAATATTTTTAAATCAACCACAACATGAAAATAACAATCAATTTACAAATCTGTATTTTTTTTATACTGATTATTTTTAATCACCTATCATTTGATAAAATAAATATTCAAAACAATTGAATGATAGTAAATTATTCAATATAGCTTTCTTCAATGTAATTTGTTTGTTTTTTTTCTTATTTTTTCCTACAGACAATAATATACTTCCAAATTGCATATTTAAGTATTATTGATTGTCCAAATGTTCTTATTGTTTCTGTCGTCTTCGGATTTGCTCGAGAAAAACATGTATAATATATTTCATGAGTAGTCAACTACTATGCAAGAGATAAAGTAACTCAAATTTCTTTATTTATAGGAATTAATATGAATATATGTCTGAATGATGAGTATTTACAACTTGTTTGTTGTACGTTTTGAAATATTTTAGTGGTCCTGAAAGGACCGTTTTAGAATATCTGAAGATAAAAATTTACTTGGAGCTAGTATATTTGGTAACTGCCTTAGTACCTTCACTGACTGCGTGTTTTAGCCAACTCTCCAGAAGCAACAAATCGTACTGCAGTCTGGATCTCTCGAGAAGTGATAGTTGATCTTTTGTTGTAATGAGCTAGGCGAGATGATTCTGCGGCAATCCGTTCAAAAATATCATTGACAAAGCTATTCATGATGCTCATGGCTTTCACTTGATATACCAGTATCGGGATTTACTTGCTTGAGCACTTTGTAAATGTAGATAGCATAGCTTTCCTTCTTTTGCGCTTCTTCTTGGTCTTATCACTTTTAGAGATATTTTTCTGGGCTTTGCCAGATTTTTGACAGCTTTCCACTTACTTTAGGAGGCATTGTGAGAGTAAGATTCTTGAAATTCAAGACTCAGTACCAGAACAGAATTCGATTTTCCACTTATGCTGATTGTGAATGTATCTCCGATCCAATCACAGCCCGACTATTGAAAAAGAACGTTGCTTATTGGTTCGGAGTAACTGTCAGTAGAAAGAGACAAACACTAGTAAAAAGTGCGAATCGGAGAGTAAAGAACGTGATTGGTTCGGAGGTAGGTACATCATATTAGAATTTTC